TTTTTTTTTTTTTTTTTTTTTTTTTTTTTTTTTTTTTTTTTTTAATATAAGAGACAATTTTCATTGATGAGTGAAATTTACAAGAAGGATGTATAATGCATGGTGTTTACAAAAGACCTTCTCAATTTGCAATGAGGGAGGTATAACTATAGGAAGTAAAAATATTAGATAGTTTACACCAAGATATAGGTAAACAACATTGTCAAAAAGTTTTGTGTCTTTTCTGCAAATATTCTCAGATTTCTTTCTTTCCAACGATTCTAAAAGAAAGCCATGATGAGGTTTTTCCATATTAGGGCTTTTGCGTTCTTGAAAGGATGGTACATTAAGGTCATATCCAAAAAATCCTTTACCTCCCTAGGAAATGTGAGATGCCATCCGAACATATTGTGAATCGTTGTCCAGAAATTCTGAACGTATGTGCATTGCATAAACAAGTGACTTTGTGATTCGTTTTCTTTCTTGCATAATGGACACCAATTTCGAGAGAGAGAGTGATGTAAAGCATCCTTTTTTGAAGATGTTCACTTGTGTTGATGGCTTTATGCGCTATTTCCCAAAGGAAGAACTTCACCTTTTTAGGTTGATGTCCTTTCTATATTGTCTTTGCTAGATTTATTGCTTCTACTTTTTCCCACATGTCCATCATCAAGGATTTTGTAGAAAAGACCCCATCAGCGTGGGGAGCCAAGTTAGTGAGCCTTCTTTGTTTGACAATACCACAGGGGCAAGGTCAAGGCTTAATTCGGCCCACTTCGTTGCTTCATTATCCTTTAAATTCCTACCAAGCTTCAGGTCCCAAAATTTGTTGACAACCTTGCACATTTCTTTAATCGTGGCTTTTCTGCTAAGAGAGAGCCGGTATAAAAGTGGATACTTCAAGGCTAGCGTGGTATTTTCAATCCATGGGTCGGTCCAAAATGATGTGCTTCTTCCCCCATTCCCCACCTTATGGTGAGTTCGGTTGGTGATGAGATTTTGATGTTTCTTTATGTACTTCCAAGACCCTTTTGTAGAAGATGGAGGGGGGGTGATTTTTGTTTGATGTAGGAGTATATTTAGCCTTTATAAGATTTCGCCATAAGGCCTTTTCTTCATGATGATCTCTCCATATCCATTTGGCGAGGATGGTGTCATCTGTGAAGTGAAGGTGGTTGGTGCTCAAGCCTTCATTACCAATCTAAAAACCTTTTATCTGCCCTTCGTATTCTGTTTTTGTCAGTAGGCGGCTGAGACAGTCCATTACCATGATGAAGAAAAAAGGGGAAAGTGGATCTCCTTGTCTAAGGCCCTGTGTGGCATAAATCTTCCCTCTTGGTCTTCCATTGATAATGATGGAGAAATTTGTGGATGAGATGCATCCTTTAATCCACCTTGGCCATTTTGGGCCAAAGCCTTTTGCCACAAGAATGTTTTCAAGGAAAGTCCAATCAACCTTATCGAAGGCCTTTTCCATGTCAAGTTTAATGACTACAACTTTTTTATTCTTTCTTTCGGTTTCTTTGAGATCAAACATATTAGGCTTACACCTTATCACTTTAAAAGGTTTAGATGTAAAATTTGAATTCGTCCTATTAAGCAATACTCAATCACACAAATTAAGGTTAAGTATTTTGCATAATGGACACCGTCTACCTCCACTTACAAGAGACCCATAACTCAATCCCAGACTTGGGACTGTAATAATATAGTATCAGTGCCAGCAGTTATGGGTGAATCTGTGCAAGAAACAGCTTACCAAACTCTTCAATTTACTCTTATCCAAACAGTAGGTCAATCAAGCGCGTAATGAGAAGGTTGAACAGATTTGTGCCAAATTGGATGTCATGTCCCTTGACTTGGAATCCACAAAGAATGGTCTTTACTTCTTCAAGTGCTGAAAGTCAAGCAAAACAAGGAGATATAAGGGAATTTCTGGAGCAACCATTTCTGACAATTCTCGAAGAAACCGGATTATACCCAAATTCATGAAACTTGACTTCCTTCACTTCAATGGGTTGGAAGACCCCTTGGGTTGGATTAGTTGTTGTCAACATTTTTTCCAACATCAATCGACACCTTCACGGTGGACTTATTCGTGCTACCATTGACGGACTTCGACATTGTCCTCGGTGTTAACTAGTTGCGAACATTGGGTCCTATTTTATGGGACCTCAATATCATGTGTATGTCTTTTTTCATACAGGGAAGCCAAGTGGAGCTCAAAGGAATACATTCCAAACCATGGAAGAAGGCGTTTGAACCCAATTCCTTGCATCCAACCACTTTCGAGGACATGCAACTTCAAACCTTGCTAGTGGAAAATGTTTCTCTCTTCGATCAACCAACTGTGATGCCTCCTAGCCGATCTTGTGATTACCGAATTCCATTGTAGTTTAGAGCTACACATGTGGTGGTGCGCCCCTACAGATATCCCCACGGACAAAAGGATGAGATAGGACAACAATGTGCAGCCATGCTACAACAAGGGATCATTCGTCCTAGCCGATCTCCTTTTTCTTCTCCTGTAATTCTAGCTCTGAAGGCTGATAATTCATGACACTTATACGTGGATTACAGGAAACCCAATAAAAAGGTCATCAAAGACAAATTTCCAATACTAGTTATGGATGAACTACTGAAGAATTGGGAGGTACAAAGTTCTTCACAAAGTTAGACTTGCTATCCAGATATTATCAAGTTACCATGTATCCTCTCGATTGACAGCCATTTGAACTCACCATGGTCATTTCTAGTTTTTGGTCATGTCGTTTGGTGCTCTCCAATGCGCCATCCACTTTTCAAACATTGATGAATGAGGTATTTAAAGATCAACTACGTAAATTTGTCTTGGTTTTCTTTTACAACATTCTCGTTTCAGTCAACCATAGGCACATCTACATCATTTGCGCCAAGTGTTCCACATATTGGCACACAATCAGTTGTTCCTGAAGCGCACCAAGTGCACCTTTGCACAAACTCGGGTTCCATACTTGGGTCACATCATTTCACAAGAGGGAGTGCAAGTAGACCACACCAAAATTGCAGCAATTACTAACTAGCCAAGCCAACACAATTAGGGGGTTGAGAGGATTTTTGGGTCTCACGGGCTATTACCGAAAGTTTGTGCTTAACTATGGTACTATAGCCACACCTCTCACTGCCATGCTACGGAAGAATTCCTTTCAATGGACAAATGAAGCAATTCAAGCATTTGATGAGCTAAAGTCAGCAATGACTACCACACTTATTTTAGTTCTCCCAAATTTTGAACTAATGTTTGTTATCGAGTGTGATGCTTCAGACATAGGAATTGGACCCAATTCTACTACAAGAAACAAACCTATAGCATTCTTTAGCTGAGCAATGGAAGCATGACACATCAGTCTTCCAACATACAAAAATGAGTTAATTGGGATCGTAAAGGCCATCAAACATTGGCATTCCTACCTATAGGGCATGAAGTTTTTGGTACGAACAGACCATTATACACTCAAAATTCTTGCTGGAGCAACGCACATTCTCATCACCTCAACAACATTGGATGAGCAAGCTGATGCCCTATAGTTTCACTGTAGAAGACAAGGCGGGTAAAAACAACATAGTGGCCTGAGATGCAGACCAGAAGATTCTTCTTGCAATTTTCATGCCTCATTTGGATTTGTTTGATGAAATACGGAAGGAACAGCAACAATCTGAAGAAGTCCAACAGCTAATTTGTCCTTAAACAATGGTAATTCAGCAGACTGCTGGAGTCTTAAACAAGGGCTTCTTTTCTTCAAGGATCATGTCTATATTCTTACTGGTTCTCCGTCAATTTCATTAGTGATTAGCGCACTTCACAACCAAGGCCATGAAGGTTACCGAAAGACGCTACATCAGATAACAAGAGATTTTTTCTAGCATGGGATAAAAAATATGGTGCAAGATTTCATAAGGGCTTGTGATGTTTGTCAGTGTCACAAAACAGAAACTCTGCAGCTAGTTGGTTTGTTACAGCCTTTGCCAATCCCACAACAAATTTGGGTGAATGTCTCACTTGATATCATTGAAGGAATTCCATCCTCCAGAGGAAAAAATGTGATTTTGGTGGTCATCCACAGGTTCTCTAAGTACGGGCACTTTTTAGCCATATCCCATCCATATAATGCCGTAAGTATAGCTCGATCTTTCTTTGATAATATTTTTAAATTACATGGGTTGCCTGAAAATCTTATCAGTGATCGGGATGTCACATTCACAAGTTCCTTTTGGAAGGAATTATTTCATTTGTGTGGAACTAAATTATACTTTAGCTCAGCATATCATACACAATCAGACGGGCAAACGGAAGCCGCCAATCGAACAATGGAGATGTATTTGCGGTGTTTCACAAGTACACAACCCAACAAACAGTGTGATTGGCTTTCATGGGCAGAATTCTGCTATAACACGAGCTACCACTCCTCACTCAAGACCACACCAATTGAAACTGTCTATGGGAGACCACCGCCACAACTATTGTCTTATCTTCCTAGAAGTTCTACCATTGAAGCAACGGATGTCATTCTCCATGTTGTAAATCCTTAGAGACAACCTTCAAGAAGCTCAATACAGAATGAAGGATCGATATGATCAATCACACCGACCATTAGAGTTCAATATTGGAGACAAAGTCTTGCTACGTCTTCAACCATATCACTAGTCTTTGTTAGCTTCAAGGAAAAATCAAAAGCTTGCCGCAAAACTCTTTGGGCCTTTTGAAGTATTAGAACGAGGCCTATAAGTTAGACTTACCAACCGAATTAAAATTACACTCAATTTTCCACATTTTCACACTCAAACCATACCATTAAGGCAGTGTCAATCATAATCTAGAACTTCCTCCAATTCCAGCCCCTGACCCTCCTCAACCACTTGCTATATTGGACCATCGATTTAAAGCTAGACAGTTAGAAGTTTTGATAGACTGGAGCCACTCTTCACCTGCTGATGCCTCTTGGGAAAATGTTCAAGATGTAACCAAACAATTTCCACAATTCAAGCTTGAGGACAAGCTTTCTTTGGGGTCGGGAAGGACAAGATTTAAAGTTATTATAAAACATTTGTTGCCACTTACTTGCTTGAAGGTCGCAGTTTGGTATAGCGGAATGCTAACAGCATCGTAAGGATCAAACTTACTTTCAAAATTCATTATCATAGTCGAAATGTTTGGCTCTTGTTCCTCCAATTCTAAAGCAAGAAAACGTCAATGTGAGCCCAAAAATGAGAGAATGATTTGTTCATTCTATACATAATAGTTAAAGCTAACTTAACTGACCGACATCATCAATCAAGGTCGACGTGCTAACATCCATCTCTCTACCAAGAGAGCACTTCTTCGAAACCAACAATTGATTACACCTCGAATACGGTGGCTTGTGGAATCCAAACCTCACCAGAAAGTTCTTGGCACTGAATCCCTGCCAAACCCCAATCAAGAACATAAAAACGGATGAACCATCACCGACAATCGGATACAAATTCCAAACGTCATCAAAATAAGAAATCTACAAGCAGAAGATTTGAGAGGAAATCATAACTTGGCCCCTCATTTAAACATTCCAATCGTTTCGGAGAAACTAAATAGACAATTTCAGTGAGGGGAAGGAAACAAAAGAAAAAAGTGCAAAGGTGTAGTTACGTTACAGTGTGCAGCAGTATCAGAAGCTGTTAGATGATTGGCGATGCACCTTAAAGAGATGGAAGCGGCGGAGGCCATAGCCAACCTCTCGCTGTCAGTGAAGCTTGAACTAATTAAAAAAAAGATGTACCCTGTTTACAAGTTGGTTGAATCAGAGAAACAAAAAAAAAAAAAAAAAGGAATCAAAGAAATGAAAGAGCAGAACTGAGGGCGAGCAAGCAGGTGATGAAGGGACGAAGAAGGTGATCGGCGTAGGTTGCAGAGGAGAGGCTGTGGGGGCGTTCCGTCGAGAGGCAAATATGGGATAGGGAAAAAGAAGACGTAAACAGTAGTAGTAGGTTACAAATCAACTTAATTCATATTTAATTTTTATCCCTAAACTTTATAAAAATTAATTTTACACCTTAAAAATTAATAGAATTAAGGGATTAAACTATGAATAAAATATTAAATTTAAATTAAATTTTGATATTCATTTAATTTTAAAAAATGAAAAAAAAAAAAAAAAAAAAAAAAAAAAAACCATTACAAANAAACAATAAAGAATTATCTTTAAAAAAAATTATAAAAAAAAATGCGGATAATTTATATTTAATTAATAAATTTCAAAATATAACATTTTTACTTTTTAGTCCCTAAATTTTAGAATTTTCCATTTTTACTCTCGAAATCTAGTTATTCATGAGAGTGTGGAAGTGAAACAGAGGTGAAGAAGTGTAAGAAGAACAAATCTATGGCGTCTCGGTTGCAGCAGATCGAAACGGATGAATCTGTACTCTTGCGAGTAACCCATGCCAATCTCAAGTCCTTCACTTCCGATGTTCGCTTTTCCCTTCAGGTTTGTTCCTTTTCCAAAGATCAAGCGTTTTTGTAGCTTTCGTTGCATCGATTAGAGATTACATATTGTGGATTTTGTCTAAATTATTAATTGTAGATGAGCGTGGAATCTGTAAAGGAAAAGTTGTGGAAAAAGTGTGGTACTTCTGTAAACTCCATGTGCCTTGAACTCTATGATGATTCGGGTGCTAAAATTTCCGATTTGACGGATAATTCCATTCCCTTGGGGTTCTATTCTCCCTTAGATGGGTACCGCTTCTTCTTTCATTGAATTCTTTACATTTTTCGTTTTTCACTTTGAAATTCTGCTCAATAAATGGTTAATATGAGATTATGCTTTTCATTAGACGGTGTGCATTGTTTCTTTGCTAAGGTACCGGCTACATATTATTGATCTCGACCCCTCATCAGTTACTTCTGGTGGTTGGCTTGAAGATACCTCACTAGTGGAGAAGTACCAAATCTCTGAAGAAGCCTATGAAAAACGTGATGGTTAGTATTTTTGCGGAGCTTGTATGTAGTTCATTCAATTGCTTGTCAAATAGGCTGCACTGAAGGACCCTCTAAACCCCCAATGGGCCATTGTGGGTCAGAGTGAGGACTTAGAGCCAACTGTTATAATATCGATAGGTTTAGGTGTTGGGTCTCTGCAGTTGACGACCATTTTCAAACTTTGTCTTGAACCTGCATTTCTTAATCCTTGAAGTATGCTGCTACTTAAAAAAGCCTTTTGGATTTAAAATTTGTGCACCACTTTCTTAATAATGCAAGAAAAAGAAAAAGCTTTGTGCTAATGAGTAGCGGTTTCATGAGAACTCTGGTGGAGTAGGAGAGTTTTCTTTGGGTAATAGTTGCCTATGGATCGACTCTGGATCCAATTGTTTCTCATGTTTTAGTGGCTTAGATTTAATCATCTAATTACCTTTGTATCTACTTTCTTTACTCTTTAAGAACCAGTTGGAGATATTTTTTGTCGCTCTTCTGGTTTATCGGCCTATTGTGTATTTCATTTATTTCAATGGAATAGTTCTTTATGGAAAAAGGTATTGTGCATCACTGACCTCCTTCTGGATTTTTTGTTTTTCAGATACATTCCGTAAATTTAAAGAAAAATTGGCATCCCAGAATCCATCAGCTTTTGAAAGTAAAGTAAGCCTCATATATTTTACTTTTGTACTTAACAATATCAATAGAGATTTTATTCATTAGCGTGAACTGTGATTAATGATATAGGAGGCACTTTAATTCATGGCCGTTAAGTAGAGTTTTGTAACTGGAATCTATTAGAAATTTGTTAGTTAGTGTGAACTGTGAATGATGATGTAGAGGCTGCCTAGTAATTTCGTTCACGTCAGTTAAGTGGGGTTGTGAAACTGACATCTCTTAGTATTCTTGAAATCCTGGTTTTGCCCCGCATCCCTTTTATAGACACGTTTCTATCTCTATCCTCGTAATTTTTGGTCTTTATTTACTGACTAGCCACATATTTTCAGATATCTGATAACTACATGGAAGAACTCTGTGCAAATATAAAGGTTAGTTACCTTACCTGCTTTAGATTTGTATGATGGATGTGATCTTAAAAACCTATGGAAATTCTTATCTTAAAGAGTTGACTGTCATACTAATTCATGAAGGAAATGAATTATTTAGAATGAAATTCTGTGGATGAGACTGAATGTTAACATATGATTTTCCATCTTTCCTGGTACCCGTTAACTTCGATCTGCCAATTCATCTCCAAGATTCCATGAAGATGAACAAATCCATGGTTTAAGTGCCCTTATTTTGGCTGGATAGAATGCTTAGTAGTAGACCTTGCTGAACATAATGATATCTTTGTGAACAACACAAAGGAGACATGCTAATGAATTCCTGCTTCTCGTATTTATTCATATTTGAATCACGACAGCTTACTTGATGTGGTCTTCTTATAGTTAGCATCCTTTCTTGTGGCTTGAAATTCTTTTATGGGTGAAGTATTTACCATCTGCACCTTCAATCCCGGTTTGCTACAGTTTGTACTTAGATTTTTACATATTATAGGTAGGTGATAGATGTGAAGTTGAGCCAGGGAAGATACGAGGCAGTGTAAAATTTGTTGGCTGGGCCGAATCGCTTGCTCCTGGTTTTTGGGTTGGAGTTCAATATGATGAGCCATTGGGAAAAAATGATGGCATGTAAGAATCCTTTGTTCTCTTCTGCATGTGATTGATTTGTTTTTCCTAATACCTCTTTTCATTATTCATTGTTAGAAACTTTAGTACTTTGATAGTCACAATTTTTTTTTTTTTTTTAATAAGAGACAATTTCATTGATGATTGGAATTTACAAAAGGGATGTATAATCCGTGGTGTTTGCAAAAGACCTTCCCAATTTGCAATGAGGGAGGTATAACTATAGGAAGTAAAAATATTAGACAGTTCACACCAAGATATAGCTTGGTAAACAACATTGTCGAAAAGTTGTGTAGGTCTGTGTCTTTTCTACAAATATTCTCTGATTTCTTTCTTTCCACATATTTCAAAAAAAAGCCATGATGAGGTATTTTCATAATAGGGCTTTTGCATTCTTGAAAATGTGCATGAAAATTTTTTACCCTTCCTTTTAGAGGGAGAAAAAGGACTACTAACATTGAAACACATATCTTATGATGGTCCGCTTAATTTGGATGAGTTGTTTCATATGGCTGTTCTGTTACCGAACAGTTTTCATTCACTATGCTCATTCTTAAATTCTGTAAGGTTAGTGTTTCATATAAAAATTCTACTTCTTGTGTTATAGTTTGTTAAAATTATCACTGACTTGTGTTGATTGATTAAAATTCTGATAGCTGTTAGAATCCAGCTTTTTATTACTCACTTCAGAGATTTTATCACATATTCTATATGATGCTAAATTAGTAAATTCGTCAGGGTAAAAGGGATCCGCTATTTTGACTGCCCTCCTCTTCATGGTGCAATGGTTAGGCCTGACAAAGTGAAGGTTTGATTTTCAGCTCCATTAATCTGTTTTCCAACTTTTAAACTGCAAATAGTATGTTACATAGCAATCTTTTAATTCTGAACTTTTGTAATATCCCATGCTATAAAATTTTGAAGCATTCTACTGCTTAAGGACCAATGGATTTATTTAGTTTATGGGAAATTAGGAAGGTGAACCATTTCCCCCAAATGTAACAGCTTGCATACACCTAACCCTTTCGTGCATCGTTGTAGGCTTGAGACATAGGCATCGCCAATTTGACATTCTTTGATCGTGCCCATTGCTTAATTCAATTCATATTAACATTTATAATCTGTGAATCGAGTTGGAAAGTCTTAAGCCTGTGAATTTTTTTGAGTATCAAATAGGTTAAGGTGCCTAGATTCGTGTCCTCGTTTTCGGCCCTCCTTTACTTGAATAGCTGCCATCTTCCTCATGTTGGTTATTGTAATTTGAATGTGTTCCAGGTTGGTGACTATCCTGAATTGGACCCTTTCGATGATGAAGAAGATGAGATATAACCAGTTCTTGTAACATTGTGGAGCTAACCAGCCTTGTTTCTGAAGCCTTTATGAATTATTGATTTCTTTTAGAAGCAATTTAAACACAATCTCAGCCTCATGGTGGGTTGACATGGTTTTACAAAAATTCTTGAAAGGAAGCATGGAGATGAAGAAAACAACGATACAATAAGAATCTGTTCTTCCGTGATCGTCGTATTGACAACCGTTGCAACTTTTCTTTAGGGTGTTATAAATGGTTTTGTTAGTTGAAATGGAAGGGAAATAGCATTGAAATGAAGATTTTGCATATTCTATTACTGTTTGCAAGTTTGTTTAGTATCTCTCTGAAGCCTGAATGCACATTCAAAGGTGTTCTTTCATGTGTGTACGTTTTCCATTCCTTTATGCCAATCATTTCAAACATGTATGATATTAGAATCTGTCGTGGAACATTTGAGAGAACTTTAATTAATACTAGTGTGGTATTTGTTGAAGCGACTTCACAATAAGTCTGGTGCATGATGACAAAATTATAGAGCGAATTCAAAGTTTTAAGATCGTATGTCAAGCGCCCTTCAAATGCTTTTAAATCTATGAGGTTGATGGCGATAAGTAACAGATTAAAACGGACAATATCTACTAGCGATGGGCTTGGGTTATTACAAATGGTATTATGGCCATACACTAGGCAGTACGCTAACGAGAATGCTCGCCTCCAAAGGGGTGGATTGTGAGATCTCACATCGGTTAGAGAGGAAAACAGAGTGTGTAAACCTCTCTCGAGTAGATGTATTATAAAACCGTGAGTGGGATATAATGGACTAAAACATTAAACATCTTCTAGCAGTTGAATTTTTACAAATGGTATAAGAGTTAGACATCGAGCGGTTTGTCAGCGAGGACGCTGGTCTCCAAAGGAGGGTGGATTGTGAGGTCTCACATCGGGCGTATGGAGAGAGGAACGAAACATTTCTTAGGATGTGGAAGGCTCTCTCGAGTAGACGCGCTTTAAAATCGTGAGGGTAGTAGTGATACGTAACGAATTAACTTGGTTTGTTGAGTGATGATATAGAAAGTTGAGTGGATTGAGATAGGGTTTTGTAGCTTCTATTGAGAAAGAAGAAGAAGAAAATTGGATTTGACAAGCACTACACATGAACTGCTCAGACACAATTACAAAACTCAAAAGGCATAGAGAGATAGAGAGATGGGTTGTACAGCTGAAGGCAACAAAATCTCACCACCTTGGCTGCTCACATGCTTTCCTTTGATATGTCCAATTCAATTCTCTGTTTTATTGGAGTACACTTGATGCCAACTTTCCCCATCCTTTTTCCTCTTCTATTTTACATCATCGTCATCGTCTTCTTGCCCGAAAAGGCGAGAAAGCCTAAGACAGTACATGGTTAAACGATGTCGAATTCGTATCCAACAATTATTTGAAACCGTTAATGAACCATTTAGATATTTTATTTTACTTTTGAAATTAATTTTTTTATTTTTTCCTCAATTAAATTTGAATAAAGGATTTTTCATAAAACTAATATTTTAAATTTCATTTTAATATAGTTATTCAATTTCAAAATTAATGGTTTTTGGTATGGATGGTATGAAATCCAAAAATGATATATTCAACCTATTATTTTTATAAAAAAATTAAGAAAAAACATATGAGTTTCCATTTATTTTTCTTTTATTCCTCCTTTTAGGTTTCTATTTTTCGAACATTTTTTTAATAATATGTGAAATTAATAGACTTTAGGAATATTCAAAACTTTTTACCTCCAAAAAGAATTTGATTTCAAAAGTTTTCACTTTTTATTTTTTGAAATTTTTTGTCTAAAAAATATTAAAAAGTTGAGAAATTCAGCTTTTTGGAGTAGAAATTACTTTTTCTTGTCGTAAAAAGAAAAGGGAAAAAAAATATAATTATTTTTCAATAAACTGATGTTGATTGAAGATGACCTTCATGTGTGTTTACAAAAACTAAAAAAAATTGGCCTATTTTTTCTTTCTTTTTTTTTTTTTAACTATTTTTTTTATATAAATAATTTATATAAAAATTTTAAATTATGAATGGGTTATTTTCTCAATTTCTTGGGACCTAATATATATATTTAGTTCAAAAAAAAAAAGTCTCATTTTTTAAATAAAATAGTGATAAGAACATAGCTTATTTATTTAATTAATAAAAATAATCCCTAAATTATACTTACATCAAATTATTTTTTTTACTTAATTTTTTCTGATATTTATAAATATCCTAAAAATATATTTAAAAAAATCAATTTGATACCTCGTTTATTTAAGGATAACTTATGTTTTATGTCAAAAAAGAAAAATAAATAATAATAATTGCAATTCTTTTTTCTATAAATAAATAATTAAAAAAAGAAAAAAGAAAAAAGAAAAAAGAAAAAAAAGTGGGTCTTCCCTAAATCCCCAACCAAATTACCGGACTTTCAAATTTAATTATGAATTGATTCCCTTTTCATCTTCTTCCTTCGTCGCCACTCCCTAAACCCACCACTTTCCAACTCCTTCTGATTACTCTCTCTCACCAAACCCCCTATTTCTCTCTCTAAAAACCTCACCTCCTTGCTTCTAGAGAGAGAGAAACTCCATTGTTGCACTGTCCCCTTCTGTTTCTCTCTGTTTTTCCATGGGTTGCTCTGCTTCAAAGCCTGTTGCCGCCGCCGCCGCCACCACTCGTCCCTCCCGAAATTCTGAATCTTTCTCTTCTCCTTCCGCTTCTGGATCGGCTGGTTCTTCGCCGGCGGTTGGGCGGGCTTTCTCTCTCCCGACGCCGATTGTCCACCACCCGCCGGCGAAGAAGGGCGACACCCACCACTTGGTTTCTCTCACTTCCACCACCTATGGCTCTCTTCTCCTTATTGATCGTCCAACCAATTCCCAGTTTCCTGGACGGCCGGCGGCGGGGGCTGTCCATGCTAAGGCTGAAAAGCCCACCAATTTCTCCGACCAGATTTCCCTTTCCCCTGACTCTGTTATCAACACATGGGAACTCATGGATGGCCTCGATGACGACGAGTTCAACTCCGATTTTGATCACACTCCGGTGAAGCCCAGTTCAATTCCGGCCAAACCCAGTTCGATTCCGGCGAAACCCACCTCGGAAAACCGGTTTGAAGGCTTAGTAAAGAAGAGTCCGGCGAAAATGGAGGAAGAGATCAGTTCAATTCCGCCATGGTCGCCGAAGAAACCATTCTGGCAGTTCATTTCAGAGGAATCCCTTCTCGCAAAATTAGATCCAAACGTGGCTTCAACATACACCAGAGCACTATCTTCCCGGCAACTCGGCTTCCATCAGGCACAAAACCGCCGTAGCTCATCATTTTCAAATCATTGGTCGCCCAACTTCCTGGACACCCAAAACAGAACAATAGTGATATACTTCACAAGCCTTCGAGGAATCCGAAAAACCTACGAGGATTGCTGTTTGGTTCGCACAATCTTCAGAGGGTTTCGAGTTTTGGTAGATGAGAGGGACATTTCAATGGATTCGTTCTTCAAAAAAGAGTTGCAGACGAAGCTCGGTGGGGTGGCGCCCACGAGCTTACCTCAGGTTTTCATCGGCGGGAAGCACGTGGGTGGCGCGGAGGAGATTCGACAAATGAACGAGGGTGGCGAGTTGGCCGGAATGTTGGAGGGGTTCCCGGCGGCGGGAATGAGGTCTGTGTGTGAAAGGTGTGGGGATGCTAGGTTTGTGCCTTGTCCTAATTGCAATGGGAGTAGGAAGTTGTTTGGGCAAGATGGAGGGTTGAGGAGGTGCTCTAAGTGCAATGAGAATGGATTGATAAGGTGCCCTTTTTGTTGTTGTTCATGAGTTCTTGATGTAAGTGCAAAATCGTTCGAGTTTTGGCTTCAAGAAATGTGTTGAAATGAAATGGATAGTGTTTTAATTTCCTATGCACCGTTTTCATCTATCAAACTCTAATCTTACGAAGTTAATAACGGATTTTAGTTCAAAAGCTTTAAAATTTTATTATCAAAAGTTTATGTCAATATTAATGTGGCACATTGGTTTGACGAACATGAATGAATAAATTAAGCATAGAAATTATGGACAAATGAGCTAACCATTAATACCATTTTAACATGCCTTCTACACAAGTCCGTGGGGCTGTTTTTATGGTTGCATTGCACATTTGCTGTTACTCCATTTCAGGTGTCATGGTGTTAGGTTTGACATCTTTTGAGCACTTTTAGTTGTTTGATCAACTTAGATCCAAAAAGTGTATAGTCTCTCAAATAAAAAGAACTTATCTAACTCAGTAGATAATCGACTCATCTTTGAGAAGAAAATCTATCTTCTTTCTTTATAATGCACCTGTTCACTTTACAATGTACTTATTTAGATCGTAATGAGCTGATATGATTGAACTAAAAGAGATAATAACAAGATTGAACTATAAATTCTTGCCTAAGTGGTACTTGAAGATTAGGCATGATACTGTTCTTTTAGGTCCCTATCCCCATCTTGTGAGCTACTAGCAACCATTCTCAATAAAATGAGAAGATTTTGTCCATATATCAACTTCATCGCACAATCAATTTCAAACTTGTTTCGAGTGATCAAGTCAATGTCCACTGTCTTGAGAGTTTCTCAAAAAGCATCTCCAGTGTCTATCAGAGGTCATAAGGTGTTAATTTTCTAGAATAAGCAAGGACTTTCCAGAAAAGTTAACACCAAGTTTGAGCATAGCATGTAAGAACGTAGGACCGAAGCTTCAGCTTGGTCCGTTCGACAACTCTTAGAACAGTTGGGATACAAGTTTTCTAGGAGGGAGAACCCTATAACAATCCCTGTAATTTATGTATGACCTAGTTTTTCCAAACAAAAATCTTTCGCCAACATTTTCAGCACTAGAATAAAAATTAACATTGGGGAAAGATGCATACAAACAGAGATTATTTCTCCTACAAAAGAAAAATAAATAAAGAAAAAAAAAGAAGATACAGGAGTCACCTAGTAGACAACCATTCTTGAGGCGAAACTGATAATATTACATGCTTATCATGGCGAAACTGATAATATTAGACAACCATTCTTGAGGGAAACACTTAAATTGTGTGCATATTTTGGCGTGAGTGTGTAGATTTCAACCTCTTCGACTAGCTGCCGCTGCAATACCAGCAGCTATAAGTCCCACAGCTGTAGCTGTAATGCCAATACCGATGATTCCATCTGCAAATCGACATAACACAAACCAAATTCCTTCAGCATATGATTCGATGCAGTAAAAAAGATTCAAGAAAAGGTACTTTATGTTTCATTATACCTTTTCCAATTTGGTCTTCCACAGTCTTTTTAAGTGCTAAAGCCTGCCTCCAATCAGGTGCAATCTACAAAAAACCAAGAAATTCAGTTATAACAAAGTCAACCAGCGCCAAGGGTCATTCCTTCATTCATCAAAATATGTCTTTGATTGATTAAAAAGTATGATGAGTCGTGCACCATGTGTTTTGGAATTATCTTTTTACTAATAGGATCATAGATGATATCTATGAAGCATGGACACTTAAGTTCAGGTTAAGTGTTTGTGTCAGATTCTTGTCGGATACGGTTAAATTCGGACACAAGACACGTGTCGAATAAGAATACACGCTTCAGACACGTGTCGGATACACATACATCTGGACACCTTTCGGACACGACACTATTTTACATTTCTTATTTTTTTTAATTTTTTAATTTTGGAGATAGCTAGACACGACTTGGATACATTTTGAAACAAAAAGCCTAAATCATTTAAATTTAGAAAAAAAAAAAAAAAAAAAAAAAAAAAAAAAA